AGGGAAAGACTTCTTAAATAAGACCTCCAAAGCACAGTTGATCATCCCCAAAATAGACAAGTGGGATTACATCAGGCTAAGAAGTTTTTGCATGGCAAAAGACACATTAATTAGTGTGAATCAACAACCCTCAGAATGGGAAAATATTTTTGTAAATTATGCATCAGATAAGGAACTGATAATGAGAATACACAAGGATCTCAAGCAGCTGTTTGGAGAAAAGATGATCAATCCTATTAAAAGAAGGGAGAAGGAGTTGAAAAAGAAACTCTCTAAAGATGACATCGAATAGCCAAAAGGTGTATGAAAAAATGTTCAACATCCCTCTTCATAAGGGAAATGCAGATCAAAACAATGAGATACCACGCAACCCCAGTCAGAATGTGTAAGATTAAAAAAATAAATAAATAACTGTTGATGGGGGTGTGGTGAAAGGAGAACTCTTTTACACAGCTGGTGGGGATGTAAATTGGTCCAGCCACTGTGGAGAACAATTTGGAGATTCTTCAAAAATCCTCCAGATATTTTGGGCACAGAAGCACACTTGCCCAGTGTGATTTTCAAGTCGCTATGTACGGGAGGCAAACTATAGTTTGCTATGAGGGAGTCCAGAACCTTAACTGCCATGCTACCAGCTGATCTTGTAAATCATCATTTTACTATACAGTATTTCATAGTTCAAATATACATATAAATAATATATGTAGTGCATATATGTTTATATGAAATAAATAAAAATTAAAAGTTTTATATTAACCATAAAAAGTTTTATGGAGACTCCAGATATGCTCATTATGAAAATGTTTATTTTATTTATAGTACATTTTGGACTGTTTCTATAACTACAGAGGAAAGTAAAATTTATTCATTTTAGTTGTGAGAGCACAAAATACTTTTTAGTAAGAATTCTTATTAAGGTAACTCTTTTGAAACCTTTTATCCCTATTTAGTGTTAAACGAACAAAACAAAATGAGACAAAAATACCACAAGACTAACAATTATCCTTTCAAAACGGAACAGTACCTCAAATCTAAAAACAGCTTCTTTCTTTTGCTATATGTTAATCTCCAAACAAAGAATGTAGAGGAAATGCTAAATAGGCTGCTCTATTGGGAAATTGGCAAGGTAAACAGAAGAACAGATCAGAGCATTTAGGATATGTCTCTGACTGCCTTAAATGCTACCTGGCAGATAATGTATTTAAACTGTGAGAAAGAACTGAATGATTATTCAAACACACACACACACACATACACACGCATGCACACACACGTTTATTTTCTGCTAAATGAAATAGCTATAGGTATTTGTAGTTTACAGCAAAGACGTTTAAATCCCTATTATATTACCTTCAAAGATATTCTTAGAAAACTGTATTTATTTTTCTTGTACCAATTTCTAACAGCAAAATGCTGCCACAATTCAAATGGCATATTTTAAATATAATCCTACAAATAACTCTGACATAAGTCTCTTACAAAAAAGTTGTTTTTCTTTGCTGCCACACCAAATCCACTGAACCGAAAGTTTTTATGCAAGCACAACTCCTAGCCTCACTGATTAGTCAGAAACGGATTACCCAGTTTGTGGGTTTTTCAGGGGGTTTGACTTCTCTTTCTTTTTACAGCTCTTCTTGCTTTTCATTTGGCTAATAGGGATGCATCTGCCCTTCAAATGTGCACAGAGTAAACTCTGTGGTTCAGATTTTGTTGAAAATATTACCTGGGTCACAAAAGAGATGTGAAAGTTTCAAGAAATTTCTTGCATTTTCTTTTTCTTTTTCTTCTTTATAAAAGTAGAAAATATGCAGTATCTATGAGATGAAAACATCAACTTTTTATTGAGTATTTGCTATATGTCTGTCACTCCCTCATTAACTCATTTGGTCTTCTAAATAGTTAATACAATCTCCTTTTTAAATTTGTTTATGCTTATTTATTTGATGAGAGTTAGAGACAGATAGAGAGACAGAGGGGCACCTTCAGTGGGGTCTTCATGCCGTGATCCTCCCCTACCATCAGCCAGCCCACATCACAGGCCCCCGCAAGCCCAGCACAGGAACCAAGGACCTTCACATGTGAGTAGGTCTACCACAGAAGAGCATTTGTTACCACTGTTCTACCGGCTGCCCCAACATGCTCCTTTTTACAGAGGAGGAGAACGAAGTCAAGAAAGTAGGAAAGTCTGACTCAAAAACATAGTTTTGGTACTTACTCATTTTCATTGTGGAATTAGTCATGATATAACTGCACCATTTTTTTTTAACAATTTGAGAAAATAAGTGCTTTATTAGCCTCACTTTGTCTATGTTCCTTTAAAAATTAGCCAAAGATTCTAGAAAAACACATAAAAAAAAAAACATTCATTCTCTCTTTCATTTACTTTTCAAAAGCATAAAACATATTTGAATTGATGTTATCAGGCAGGACTCTATGGTATTCTAATGGATAGCGCATACATACTTATTTACTGCACTTACATTGAGAAGTAGAACATTAAATGCTGGAGAACTAGGATTTCACAATATCCTTGGAGATCAACTGAATATTCCAAACCTTTGCTACCTTTATTCTTGGTATATTTTAACCTCAGCACAAAAGCACAAAAACGTTTCTAAAAAGATGAAGTACATTTTTTGAGACATTTATTTATTTATTTCTTCCATGAAAGAGGGATCCAATGCTTAGAGAAGGCCATTGGTGTCATAAGTACCAGACTGTAGCATTGCCTGTGCCGTCGAGAGAAGTGGAAGTCATTACAGCTGAGATCATTAGTACGGTTCTGATGCTAGTTAAAAGGTCTTTGCTTTTGACATTTAATATTAGGTCAGGAAATAAGATAGAGTTCTCCTACCTCTCTATTCTTTTGTGTTGTGGGAAAATTCATGATGCATTTTTGCATAGAAAAATATGTCATCACTTTTCCAACAACCCAATAGTATGACATTAGACTTTGAATAAGAATTAAGGAAGCTCTAACTTCACTTTGTATGATAACTCATTCAGAGCCTACATAAAAGGTGTACATAGGGAAAATGAAGGGTTTAATTTTCAGAAAAATGGTAGACTTGCTATATATATATATATATATATATATATATATATATTAATGCACTTAATATCTTCTTAGTCTTTTATTTATAAATTAAGAAAATTAAATCACATTTTAAATACATGTCAGCTTGACATTTAAAGAAATTGTGTTTGAAAATTGTTAAGATACAGGCCAGCAGGCGATGTGGCGGTTAAGGCACTGGACTCCCACGTGGCTGACTGCAGTTTGAGTCCCAGACCTTAACGCTTGAAAATCAAGTGACTTGCATGTGTGTGTGTGCCCAAAATTCTGAGGGAGAATGGAGGAGAAGGGATTGTGGTATGCAGTCTGTCCTGAGGGGGGTGATTTCTCACATTCTCTCTCACTCTCTTACCCTCTCTGGTAAGTGCACACGCCCTATAGCAAAAACTTTAAATAAATAAATAAGTAAACAAATAAATAGAAATTTGTTAAAACAAAATAATCATTCCATAATAGAAAGATCCTCACATAATTTATTATTGCATAAACCTAGATTTTAATATACTGATTATAAGAAAAATGACAAGGAAATAGACCTCAATTCTTTAAAAGGCCAGTCTAAAGACAATTGATATTAGATTCTAATAATTTCTAGGAAAACAAAGATGCGGTAGATCTTACCGGTTGTACTTTAGCAGTAGGTACCATTTAAAGAGTAATATAAACATAACTCATTAGGAGACCTCTTGGTCAGATGGAGTAAGTCACTTTAAGGTGCCTATGCATTCTGTCTCATCATATTTTTTTTTAAATGATCAAGGCCTAGGAAAGAAAGAAACATTATCTCAATACAAGAAGGAAATGTTCTACTTAAAATCTTATAAAAGTAGTATTTTTAACTCACATGTGTGGAATAATTGCAGCTCTAGCCAGAGTTTAAACAACAAAGAAAGAAAAAAGTGGATGATACATTTCTAGCCTTCAATTCAGAAAAATATTGACAATATGAAACATTATATAACTGAGGCATTAAAAGAAATTTATTCATAGGGTTTATGGAAATATAACACACATATATTGTCCGTCCAGCATCAGAAAGTACAGGTAGTAGTACTTAATTAATGTCTCACAGGTCTATACTATAGAAGAGGAGATTAGAATACAACAAAATGTATAAATATTTTAAGTAGCCCATCTGTAACCTAAGTAATTGTATGTATTTATATGATGAAAAATACTAAGTGACCAATAGTTACATCCTCATAAAATGTATAAAGTCTCAACAGATAACCTTGTTATTTTTGAGAAATGTATATTTACAACATAAAATATTGTGAGAAGAGAGGACCAGCAGATGGCATACTGGACACTCCCACATGGCCGACCACGGTTCAAGTCCAGACCTGGTGGCTTTCTTTCTCACTGCCCCACACACACAGTCTCTCACTCCTCCCCCCACACACCACACTGTCTCTCTCTCTGGTCAAATTAAAATAAACGGATGAATAAATAAAGTAAAATAAATAATTATTTAAAAAATATAATGAAACATTTGCAAAGGGAGAAATATAAAGTGATAGAATAGGCCACACAAAATGTTACAAGGAAAAACATAAATGTGCTAATTTTTTGTACTATAAGAATGAAGATTGATATTGAAATATAAATCATCAATTGATCAACATCAATCCAACATAAATTTTAATATCAATCTTCATTCTTAAAGCAGAAAAATTCAGCACATTTATATTTTATAAATACAAAAAGTATAAATAGATTATAAATTTGTATAAAATACGTGTAATGGAATTGGACCCTCACATGCTACTATATACAAAATGAATCAAAATTAGCTCAAAATGTATCAAAGATGTAAATGTAAATGTTGAGACTATCAAACTCTTGGTAGAAAATGAAATTCTTCATGAAATTGGACTCAGTAATGATTTATTGCTTATGACACCAAAAGCAAAGCAACCAAACAAAAGTAGATAAACTGGACTTCAACTTTAAAAACTTTTGTGTATCACATGATACTGTCAAGAGAGTGAAAAAATCTGTGGAATGAGAGTAAATAAATACAAAACATATACTAATATAAGATTACTATCTAGTATATATAAGAACTTCTAAAATTCAAGCACTCAAGACAAAATAGTTGATTAAAAAGTGAGCCAAGGACCTGAATAGACCAAAAATGGTACCCAAGTAATCAATATGCACATGAAAAGATGATCAACATCACAAGTCCCTAGGAAAGTGCAAATCAAAACTACATGGTGTACCACTTCACATCCATTAAGATGGCTATTATAAAAATCAAATAGAAAAGGAAAATGAATGTCCCTAAGGGTGTAGAGAAGTTGGAACTCTTCTGATAGGAATGGGAATTGAAAAATGAGACAGCTTATATGGAAAACAGTTTGGTAGTTATTCAGGAAGTTAAATATGTGATTCAGCAATTCCACTGATGAGTATATGCTCAAAATAATTGAAAACAACAATTCAAATAATATTTATATACCAATGTTTACAGCTGCAACTTATGCCACAGTCAAAAGATAGAAACAACCCAAACGCCCATTAACAGATGAATGGATATACAAAATGTAGTACATACCAATAGAAAAGTATTCAGTCATTAAAAATAAATTTTGATACATCTTACAACATGGATAACCTTGAAAACATCATGTTGAGTAAATAAGCCAGATATAAAAAGATAAATATTGTATGATTCCACTTACACAAGGTATCCAGAAGAGAAATTCATTGAGATAGGAAGTAGAACAGAAATTACTGGGGGCTGCGGATGGGGAGTGAGTATTTATTTATTTATTTATTGGAGAGTTTTTTTGCTATAGGGTGCATGTACTTGCCAAGAAGACAGAGAAAGACAGAGAGACAGAAAGTGAGAAATCACTCCCCAGGGGGATGGCCATAACACAACCCCTTCTCTATTCTCCTTTCAGATTCTTGGGCATGCACCTGGCATGAGTTTAAGCCACCAGGTCCGGGACTTGAATCGTGGTCGACTACATGAGAGTCCAGTGACATAGCCATTTCACCATCTGCTGGTCCTGGGTAGTTATTTTTTTAATGGGTACAGAACTTCTACTTGATAATACAAAAGCTGTGAAAATGGATGGTGATGGAGGATGCATAGCATTGGGAATGTATTTAATGTGAATGCATCGTATAGTTAAAAATGATTAAATGGTCATTTTTATGATCTGTATATTTTACCACAATAAAACTCTAAAACACCCCACCTTTTAAATTCTAATCTATAAAACAATTCCCCAAACACCACTTCTTTCTGACTCATCTCATCAATTTAATCCAAGCCATCATCATCCTTCAACCAGACTTTTGCAGTTGCCTTTAATTGATCTCCCTATTTCTATCCTTTGCCACTTCATTCTATTCTCAACACAGTCCCCAGACTGTGCCTTTTGAAAAAGAAGTTAGGTCATAAATCAAAATTTTCCAGTGGCACTTTATTTTATACAGAGTAAACCCCAAAATTTTGAAAATACTTTGCAAAATTTATATTATCTAAGTTTCCCATCACCTTTAAAAGAAATTTATCTGTTCCATGAGCAAGAGAAAGAGAAAAAAGGAAGAGAAAAATATAGAAAGCAAAAGAAGAGAGAATGAAAAGAATGAAAAAGAAAGAAGAAAAAGTAAAAGTAAGAGAAAAATAAAGAGGAAAACTCTGAGGATTTCGGTGCTATAATCCACTCTGTTTCAGTCAGCCACATTCATGGCAAGCATGTGCCCAACATATTCAGGGAGGTTTCCAGACTTGAATGGGGAACCTTCCAATATGGGAATGCCTCACAGAGCATTATGTGTAACCACTGCTGAGGCACCACCCTCTGCTCCCCATTCCCATTAACCTTTTTGATCTTAAGTCTCAGCAGGGTCTTCACAAAGTAAGAGTCATGAAAGTGATCTGTCCTAGGGAGAGAAATGTTTTATTGCTGACACTATGTATTGTGTAGTTGCCAGGTGCATGGCGACAATTAAAATGAGAACAGTATGTAGTCAGTTTTACTACAATCTACTGATTTCCTATAGAAAATGCACCCATGCTGTCTTCACCCTGGATTGGACTCTGCTACAATCTCCTTGGTGGACCTCTGTCTCCCATCACTCTCCTTTTTCATGCCACTCTCTCTATTTTAATCTCCTAATCTGTTGCTTCATGTCACTGAGCAAGTATATGAGCCAGGGCCTTTGTACTTGCTGTTCCTTCAGGCTGGAAAATCAAGGATGCCTGAGTGTCTGACTCACTCACCTACATCGGACAGGAAATCATAAATCACTTTCCCTATGTAGCCTTCCCTGGTTACTGCATAAATAAGTGCAAGTACAGTCATCACCCTTCTCCACATTTTTTCAAGCTTCATTTCTAAGCACTTTTACTATCTAACATATATATACATACATGCGTGAGTGTATATATATATATATATATATATATAATGTGTGTGTGTGCGTGTGTGTGTGTGTGTATGTATTATTTATTTATCTTTAAATTATTTATATTTAATTACTATACATCTTTACGGTGTATGACGTGGCTTTTCCCAGCATGGATACAGTACATATCGGTCAAGACAAACACATTACCATATACATTACAATCAGCAGATACCTTTTCATTTTTGTGTCAATTAAACGTATTGTTTTTTCACCCTGTTTCCCTCCCTCCCTCCCCCTCTAACATATAATTTTTACTCTTTTTATTATGTCTATTCCTTGTCTCTTCAATAAGGATTATAAAGAAGCTTCCTTAGGGCAGAGATTCTTCACTTGTAGTTTTAGTGTTATAGATTCATAAAGACAGAATTGCCTGGTTATCTAGGTGAATGAATGAGTAAATGCATACATAAATAAAAAAGTCATTTATACTTAACTATTAACAGATCCAAATGATAATATCTGCTTAGCTAGAACAGATGAAAATATTTATTAGGAGACCAGCAGTTAGTGTAATGGCTGTCGCTGGACTCCCTTGTAGTCGACCACGGTTGGTGTCCCGGACCCAGTGGCTCAAAACTCACGCCGGGTGCGTGGCGTGTGTGCCCAAGATCCTGAGAGGAGAATGGAGGAGAAGGGATTGCGGCACGCCATCCCCCGTGGGGGGTGATTTCTCGCTTTCTGTCTGTCTCTGTCTGTCTGGTGAGCTCATGTGCCCTATAGCAAAAACCTCTAAAAAAATTTATTATTAGTAGTAATCACAGCAAAGTTAAGCTAAATTTCCATTTATTATTTATTTATTTATTTTATTATTTTTTTTTAGAGGTTTTCACTATAGGGCGTGTGTGTTCACCAGACAGACAGAGAGAGACATAGAGACAGAAAGCGAGAGATCACCCCTCAGAGGGGCTGGTCACGCCACAATCCCTTCTCCTCCATTCTCCTCTTGGGATCTTGGGCACGCACGCACACATGCCCGGCGTGAGTTCTAAGCCACCGGGTCCGGGACGCAAACCGCGGTCGACTATGTGGGAGTCCAGCAACATAGCCATTACACTAACTGCTGGTTCCCAATTTCCATGTTATTGATTGTCAGATTGGAAAATATCTATCATTGTAAATGATTAGCAAAGGAAAGTGAAAACGTTTCACTGTGTTTGTGACAATGATAAATGCTATATTTATATTATTTTAAGTAAGTGTAGAAACAACCTTAAAATGGCTGAAATTATGACTGAATAATCAATATGCCATTTACATTTTAAATAAAATAGCCATGAATACTATAAATACTTCTTTTGTGTATGTGTGTTTGTATACACACATCTGTGTGCCTATGAACCATAGAGGCATTTCTTGCCCAAGACACCCTTCAGAGGTACTCTGTATATCTTCTAGTTTGTTTCTGTGCACTAATTATGGGGACCACCATTACTACTTATGAAAAATAGATGAGGTATTCAAGAGTAATTTAATTACCTAGTAAGGACCCTGTGGCTGACTAAATTAGGCTTCTGAGTAAACAACTCTTTGATTCAGGAACATAAAAGGGAACCTCTGAATAATGATACCAAGGGGAAATTAGACATTTAGAATAGTGCAGTACATTGTTTATCTTGTGTAATATCCCAGCCACCTACCAAAACTTGATATAGACACTCTTTGAAACTTTCAAACAGTTTGAGAGATGCCTATCAAACTGATGCATTTGCTCATTATCAATGTATGCAAATCTGGAGTCACTGTCAATGCTTTTAAAGAATACTTCCATTTATCTGGAAATTATTGAAGTATTTTTAAAAAGAGAGTAAATTTCCTCAATAGTTGATCTATAGATGTAAATAAGATGTAAAAAAATCTCAGAACAAGAAAGTTTTTGTAAAATGAAAATAATTATTTCTAGAAATAAAGGCAAAATAATTCAGTGTTAATAGACAAATGTTGAGCAAAAATAGGCATTAAATATTCATTGATTCCAATGAAAACTCTCCCTTCAATTAAATGTTTGTTTAACAATTGATAACAGTAGAGGTCCCTAACCTACTGCTTCATATCTATAGTAATCTATAATAATCACTATAAAGTAGCATTAATTTAATAGTGACTATACTATCACAAAGTTCAAAGAATTAGATCAATCTTCAAACATTTCTTAGATAATTTTTTAGTATCTTTTTACTCCTCTCCCCCTTTTTTTTGGGAGAGATTATTGCTATAGGGCATATGCCCTCACTGGAGAGGCAGAGAGAGACAGAGACAGAAAGTGAGAAATCAGCTGCCAGGAGGAATGGCCATGCCACAATCCCTTCTCCTTCAGTCTCCTCTTAGGACTTTGGGCACGCACGTACACTCACCTGTCGTGAGTTTTAAGCCTCTGAGTCTGGGACTCCAACTACAGTTGACTCAGAAGGAATCCAGTGATGTAACCATTATGACATCCTCTGGTTCTAGTACTTTTTTTTTTTTTTTTTTTTTACTGCAATAGTGACATGTCATTAGGTTAGACTTAATTTTGCAAAATTTGCCTTAGAAGAAAATGATGGAGGCAAATTGAATAAGTGAATTGATTAATGAATGAATGGAACCATTAATAATTGAATACAACTTTTAAATTATTTTTAAGAACCATTTTTTTGCTTGCCCCCGTAACACATAAGATCATTAATAAACCTACTTCAACAGAATCCTAAACCTCCTTTTTTATAGAGAAAATAATCTTGGGAATACATTTCAAAAATATCCACTAGGGGACAGACAGTGACACAGTAATAACAGAACTATACCCACTAGAGAAAGTGCTGAGTTCATATCCCAGAGGTGCCCTTATACACCAGGCACACACATGCAGGCCATAATTCGGGATAAGAACGTGGTGGTTCACTGTGTGGGGTTACTAGTCTCTCTTTCTGTTTCTCTCCTTCTCTCTGTCTGTCTATCTGTGTTTCTGCAATGGCTGCATTATTGGTCATATCATTTATATAACATATAGGCTGAAGGCCTGTTAGGTCCTGGATCTGGTGGCTTGAGAAACACATCTGTTGCATATACTTGTGTGCATGCCCAGAGTCCCAGGGAAGAATGGAGGAGAAAGGACTGTGGCATGGTCATCCCCTCTGGGAAATGATTTTTTTTTCCTCTTCTTTATTTTTTCTTTTTCATTCTTTTCTTTTTTTTGGGGGGGAGGGGGAGAGATTTTTTTCTATAGGGTATGTGCACTCGCCAGAGAGACAGAAAGCAAGAAATCCCATTTTCCCGGGGTGGGGGATGGCCATGCCTCAATCCCTTCTCCTCTGGGGATTTTGGATACGCACACATACACATGCCAAGTGTGAGTTTTAAGCCACCAGATCCAGGACTTGAACCATGTTGGACTATGTGGGAGTCCAATGACATAACCATTACTCCATTACTCCATCTGCTGGTCCCATGGAGGATGCTTTCTTACTTTCCTTCTCTCTTTTTCTGTTTCTGGCTAGCACACATGCCCTCTAGCAAATATTTAAACACATTTTTTTTCCTACTCAAAAATAGCATCTTGTTAGGAAATCTTGGTATTACCTCTCGAATTCTCATTAAACTGTTTAAAAATAAGAAACAGATTAGAATGGTTAACTCAAAAGAGAAGCCTGAAACCTACGTAATGCCTGAATGCAAGTGCAGTGTTTGGGAGCCACAAGGCAATGTTACTGAAGTCAGAATTATTCTCAGTGATGAATGCAAGTTTTATCACTTTAGAACGAGTTTGCTAGACTGAAAGAAGAAAGGGAACTGCTTCATCTCTCTGCCTCTACCTGATATCTGGCTCAGGCACTTGCAGTCTGTATCAAAGAGATAACTGGGCAGTCAGCCATCGACCTCACAAGGATTGATTCCTTTGGTGACTAGAGCTTTGTCCCTCCACCCTAACAAGTACTTGCCTTTCTACATCAATTTTCTGTCTAAAATTCTTAGGAAATAACTGTATCGAAAGTGAACAAAAGGACTGTAAAGAGCAAAGTGAACTCTAAATTGTTCATGCACAGTGACATGTGTAGTTCGGACAGGCAGTGTCAAAATTAGCAACTTTCTTGTGGCCTTGAATGCAGCTTAGAAGTGTTTGACTGTCAGCCACACTATCTGCAAAAAGTATTTCTTGTTTTTGCTAATTATCTTTAAACAGACTAACTCTCCAGTAGCTTCTATAAACTTTTACAGAACTCTATAACTTTCATGAATCCCTAGAAAGCTCTTACAAACTTTTCTGTAGTACAAAGTTAAAATAAAATATGGTTACTCATGTATCTACTTCTTCCTAATACTTGATATGTACAGAAAAGAATTACTTCTACCTTGAAAATTATACATCCCCCTACTGTGTGGTTTGTATACAGTTAGGGGTAAAAATGTGAAAATTTAAAGCTAGTAGCATTTTCCTTTCATGAATTAAAGGAAAGAGGGAACAGTATGGGTTGGATGTGGACTGGAGTCAAGAAAAAAGAAAAAAGCAAGATAAAATGAGAGATTTAGCTTCTTCTCAAAAAATAAAAAAAAAATAAAACAAATTTAAAAGAGAGAGAAAAGAGAAATATGACAAAAATCCATCAAGTTTTAGGGCACTGAAGTTAAAGTGTATGTTAAATGTCCTCAGTAGACAGTCTCTTCATGAAACAGATTTGCTAATATTTAATTAAAGCTGTTTATATAACTATATTACCACACTCACCTTCTCATGTTTTCCAAAATCTTCAATAAGCACTAGTAAAAAACAACAAACAAACAAACAAACATTCATTAGGGTTAAAGATTGTGTGTGTGTGTGTGTGTATGTGTGTGCACACATTCTTTTGCATGTGTGTGTGTGTGTGTGTGTGTACGCATTCATGTGTGGTGTTTTTGATTTGCTTTTTCCCCTCAAAAGCAAGGAGTTGGCTAATTTTCAAGGCCAGGTTTACATAATGCAGGGCAGATACTACATTTTAAAATGGCAAATAAAAAACGAACGAATGAATGTAAATAAATAAAGAAAAAAATAGAAAAAAAAAAAACGAACGGAGGAAATAAATGTTCGTACCAAAGAACATGAATTATTTTTACCATGGTCTGTATCTTTAAAAATATTGAGGAAGGGAACCAGCAGTTAGCGTAATGGCTATGTCGCTGGACTCCCACGTAGTCGACCGTGGTTCGTGTCCCGGACCCGGTGGCTTAAAACTCACGCCGGGCGCGTGTGCGTGCGTGCCCAAGATCCCGAGAGGAGAATGGAGGAGAAGGGATTGCGGCGTGACCATCCCCCCTGGGGGGTGATTTCTCACTTTCTGTCTCTATGTCTCTCTCTGTCTGTCTGGCGAGCGCACGCGCCCTACAGTGAAAATCTCTCCCCCCCCAAAAAAAATATTGAGGAAGATTCTGGAATTCAGAGAGCAACAATTAACATTTAAGACACTCTTGCCTACATTTCTAATGGACAGAAAAATCTTAGGCCCATGTGTAGAATGTATTACAATGAACTAATTAATACTTGCAGCATTGAAGAAGTCACTATATAGACTACCCCCCCCCCCATTTTCCACATAGGAAAGAAAAGCGAAAAAGGTGGTCTAATTAAGTGCAGCTGCTAGAAGATGGCAACACCTCTGATTCACAGCATTCCATCCAACCAGAACTCTCTATTATACCCCATGGTTCAAATCCCTCTGCTATAATAAGGCTACACACTCAGAATTTGCTTCAGGTGAACCTTTTTTGGTTTCTTTTTGAATTCATTTGAATTTATAAATGAATTTGAAGGTAAGAAGACATGTTTCAAAAATCGTGACTCAGCCCAGTGTTTTCTCTGCCTGTATACACTCTCGTCTAGATAATGCACACTTAATTAGCATATTAACTTGGGTAGAGATGTTCTTCCTTAGGTCTGTTACTATTAATGGATCTATATTGTTAAATAAAATATTTAAAAAAATTCAAATATATTTATTGCTTTTTCCATTTTCATCCAATGCTCTCCTTAGGCAACAGCATTATAAGTGGCTGGAAAAAGGGAACTACAGTAAAAGTTCTATTATTGGAAATGCTGAGATACAGATAGGACTATACTTGATCCTTTCAGAATTACCCTTTCATAGTTTCTACTTCTATTCTTTTTCTAATCATTAGAATTAAGGATGCTAAGAATAGTATTTACAGTTTACAGCATTTTCCATGAACTAAAACGGATTAGGTTTCTATAAATAGTTTCAAATTAACTAGATACAACATCCTTGACATGCATAATCTTTTGGTTATGAGTTGCATGGATACAAAATGTGTGCACAAAATAAAATAACCACTGAACAGTTCTACTATAGACCTGCATTTTCTCACAATTGACTGCCACACAGTTTATACTATGAAATTGTTCTTTTTACAGTGTGTCCTTATTTGTTTCCCATCTTCATTGCTATTACAGAATTTTGAAAATTGTTCCTTGAGACAAAAGTACTACCAATTTCTAAAATTATTATATCATCTATTTCAGCATCTTTAAGACACTAGTAAAGTGAATAATTGAAGTAGAAGTAATAGATAACGAGGTCAGCCCATTACCTCTTTGACTAAGGGAGCCAGATTCCACATGGCTGACTATGGTTAGAATCCTTGATCCCACAGCTTGAAAAACACACCTAGTGCATGTACATGTGTGCCCAGAATTCTGACAAGATGAAGAAATGAATTAAAAGGGTTTTTTGGCATGACCACACTCCATTGGGGGAGTTTATTTTCTCTCTTTCTCTCTTTTTCTCTTTTTCCTCTTTCTCTTTCTCTTTCTCTGTCTCTGTCTCTCCATCTCCATCTGATGAGTGCATATGCCCTCTGTTAATTAAAGAAAAAAGAAGTAGTGGATAAGACTGTGTCCAAATGTCAAATTTAAAATACAAAGTTCCCTATTTTGAGATGTTGAATGTCTGACATGCTTACTAGAAACTAACTTCTCAATGACAATATACACACGGATTTATCTCCTTTGTTTGTTTCCTAATGTCTCCAATCTTTTTCTTTGCACTTCTGGTGTTCTTTGCTGAAAACTATGGATATGGTAATATCCTTGATTTGATCATCACGCACTGCATGCATGCTGTGCAATTTCATATTATATCCCACTAAGATATACCACCACAAAAAAAGTGTAAAATAAATAAAATAGAAACAAAAAAAGATTGGGAGTTATTTATAATTCTGACTAATCCAAGTTACACATTTCTTCTGTGAAGTAGAATAGTAACTGAACAGCTAAATTTTTAAGTACTTAACTGTTTTAAACTTGCATTCATGAGTGCTGTCAAATTTTGTCTTTATTAGGATATAGACAGGACACCACTTCATAGCTGAGGAAGTACTGCTCTGAGTTATCAGTGAAATTTTAAAGGGAGCCTTCAG